CATTTTGTTAAATGCCTATTGCCTTGACTCTTCTTCTGTTCTCTTCCTCATGTCAAGCATTGGGGTTTCTCAGAAAATGGATAGTAACTTTGGTGATTCCCTTACATTTTGTTACAATTTGTCAGTTTCTTTGGTTGTAAAACCACTTACATTTCCATTTGCCTCAATTGTACTTTGCAGTACTAAATGTTAGCATGCTAACATGGTAAAGACATTTTTCAGCTTTTAGTAGCTACTCCACTTTCTTTTTATTGTATTACTGGACAATAGTGTTCATCAAGAGCACACTTTTGAGTATTTTATTTTGTTACTTTTCAAGTGTGAATATACAACTACTATACAAGACCTGATTAGAATTATTGAGGAATTTAGACACACATACATGCTACATGTATCAGCACCCAGTCACATCCATCTGCAGTATCACTCTAAATATGCCTGATCAACAGTAGAGCTGCAATCAAAGCAGCTAGCGACTGAATATCCAGAGTTAATTGCAAATAATGTTTTTCCCACATTGTTTTACTAGATGTGTATTTGGTCATCGACACAAGCTCAAAACGGTATCCTCATCTCAGACTGAATCACGTCCATCCTGCGACTGCTGGATGTGGAAGCGCGGAAACCAAAAGGAGCAGGGATAAGGGAGCCAAAGATTAGGGATGAGTGGCTGAGTAGATGAGGGATAATGGCTAACAGTCCGCTTTCGGAAGGCATGGCATCATGTGGGAATTCTGAAGAGGACCGATTCAGGCCGGATGAGAGAGGAAGCTGATTATCCACCCTCCTTTTGTGTGTGGGATCAGGATCAGCAAGCAAATCCTCCACTCGGTGAGGAGAGTCAAGTAAAAGGAGAGGAGGGGCAGATGAGGTGAGGCAAGGAAAGACAATGAACGTAGGGGAGATGGGAGAAAAGAAGACTGGGAGGGGGAAAAAGAGAAGGATGCAGAGAAGAAAAGAGGAGAAGATAGGGAAGGAAATGTGAGGTGAGAACTATGATTTCACCCTTTTGTGCCTTGATTTGGCATATACGATGCAATCAAGTTATGGCTGATGAGGCTTTCACCTGCCATACATGATTATGTGCATATATATGATAATATTCATTTATGTACTCTGATTTTTAAGCGTTAGTCCTCATTAGCTACTCCATTTTATTGAAAACTGCTTTGTTCCTGTTCACTTGTTTTTTTTTTCACACCTCAGTCTCTGATGATTAAATGAACTCAGAAATATCTTGCTCTAACAACCCGCACTGTTCCTGTTCGTCATGGGAGCAAGAGAAGCCAGACTAATTGCATGCACTTCTGGATTTGCTGGATACTCAGTGAGGCTGAAATCTAAAGTGTTTGTGGGCGTGCGCGAGTGTGTGCACGTGTGTGTTGTTTGTCTTGGTCCTAGGTTCTGCTTTCCTGTGCCAGATATCGCTGCCTCTCTCTGGTACCTGCAGCAATACAGGAGCCATTAGACACTCACTGAGTGATGAGACGAAGCAGTTTTCATTAAAAAGACATTTGGCGAAGACTGGAGGCCTTGAATTGATGTGAAGCGAGAGACAAAGGCTCGTGTTTGTCTTGGGGGGGAGATGAGTGACTCATGTGTCAGTGTTTCAGACTGCAAAACCGAAAAAAATTCTGCCACTCAAATAAACAGCGACTGAAAGCGAGCCAAGGTTTGATGGCGATGAGAGGGAGGCAGGTGCGCAGGCGTGCATGTAGGTCTGTGTGCGTGTGCGTTTCTGTTCTTTTCCTGTGGAAGGAGAAGGTGAGGGAGAGTGAAGGACGGTGTGAAGTCATTTGGTGAATTTGTAGAACGCTGCAGAGTGAAACTGAGACACTGTTGCTAACACCTGTCAGTGAACTGTGGATTAACAAGAACTAACAGCAGCAGAACTCCCTGCTTCTACAACTTTCTAGCTGACTACCTACCGCACACCCCAAATCCATGCCTCCCATGGGATAGGAACCCCACCCACCCTAAGGCACGATTCATTGGGCCACCAGCCAACCCCACCAGAGTGTATTACTGTCATCTAGAGACTGTTTGGTTCAGATGGGGAGAAGGCTGCAACAACTTCTTATAAGCAAGGTGGATGTAACTCAACCAACAACTCAACAAGTAGAAATTACCTCTTTTTTTAATTATTTTTTT